GACAGTGACCAGCCGATGGAGGGGCAGTGCTATCCAGGCGCAGGTCAAGGGGGTGTGTATTCGGTGGGGAGACCTTAACGTCCATTCTGATTTGGAGCTCCCATGCAGGATGAGGGTCAGTTGGGAGCTGCTGTCAGTTTCCCAGCAGAAGGAGGATGCAATCAGAACATGCCATAAATCCTAAAGACCTCTTCAGCTGTGCGCAGAATGAGGAAATGGGGGACAGTGGTGGGAAATGGGGACCCTGCCCTAGGGGCTTCAGAGCCTGGCACCCCTGGGTTGGCATCCCAATTCTGCCCTTTGCTAGCTGTGCACTTCACCCAGACTTTCTGGGCTGCAGCTTCTGCATTTATAACAGATTTGTTATCTCAGGGATGCACTTAGATCACGCATATCTCCAGCACCCATTGGTACTCACCGTCACTTCTCTCCTCTTCTGGTTTTCTGCTCCTGTCCTTTCTCACCAATGTTGCTCAGGTAACCCCTTCATCACCCTTTACCCATGTGACAGCCTCCTATCCCATCCTAAACTCTGCTTGAACCAATCCATTCCACCCCAAGGACATTCCTGGGTCCTGAGAGATGGCACCCCCTAGCCAGAGACACAGATAGCCCAGATTGTTCCACCTGGATGCCTTCTTGTGCTGGAAATGGAAGCTGTTGGTGGAACCCTCCAATTATGAAGCTGGGAATTCTAAAGGAGCAGGGAGGCTTGGCAAGCTGTCTCTACAGCAAAGTGTAGGGCAGAGGCCCATACGGGCTACCGCGACTGTCTAGAAGGGAGGCGGGATTGCAGGGATCAGCAGAAAACTCATCAGGGCTGAAAAGGCCTATAGGAAATGAGGAGACTGGGGAGACCATGTCCCTCTCCAAAGCCAACCTGGGGGGACTGAGCCCCAGGGAGAGAATGACAAGGCGCAGGGCTGAGGAGGGGAGGATGCAAGGCTCCGGGCCTGTGGCAGGGAGGAGAGGAAGAAGGGAGCCCTGGGACTCCCTGAACATGCAGCTCTGGGATGAGCCTGTGTTCAGGAACGTTCCTTCCCTGATGCCCCCTGCACTTACCTATAAAACACATCTCACCAACAGGTGAGGGCCTCCAGGGAGTTGGGGCTCCAGCCCACTCTGAAACCCAGCAAGCCTTGCTGCAGCACCCAACAGCCCCAGTCCCCTCTTCCTGCTAATGCTGAGTCCCCTTCTCCCACCAGCACCTGCCGGGGTCCTTCCAGATCCAACTTGCCTGTCCCTGCCCATGAAGACTTCTCTGTTTGCCCCCCTGAAGATGCCCCCTCCTTCCCCAAGGTCATTATGTCCCAATGCCCAGTGCAGTGAGGTTGACAGAGCTGCTCTCAGGTCCACCTTCCTTGCTCATTGAATGCCATATCACCATGCCCTGCTTGTTTCTGTGTTCTGTCCAGTCCTCTAGTGCCCTGGCATCTGGGGCACAGAGAGTGCTTCCTCCCTGCTCACTGAATTAGACTAAAGGCAGCAGGGGTTTTTGGTGTAAGGTAATGTAAGGGACAGAGGGTAGGAGCCAGGCTGGGCTGAGGTCAGGGAGGGAAACTGTGGATGGCTGGATCTAGTGGACCCAGGCAGGCAGACCTAAAACTATCTTAGCTTGATGGTATCACCTAGCAGCAATAATGCTTATTTCTGTGTCATTGTAAGAATTAAATCTGATGTCCCGCCAGTCAATGGGCAAGGCAGTTAATAAGCACTCAACACATTTGTTTCATGCAGTTCCTCCTAAATCAAAGGAATGTTTTTCTTGCAATAAGGCAAAGACAGCCCATCCTTTGGGAGCCTTCTGGCAAGGAGGCTCTTGGAAGCTTCTGCCCATTTTCCTTTGCCAGTGCATTCAGGAAAGGAAAGGGAGACTCTCCTTCAGTGCCTTGGTGTGGGCTGAGACACTGAGACCCCCTGGGAAACACCTAGGGGTCAGGTCAGTTATAGGGAAAGGGACATCCCCACTAACGGGTCATGCCTGCTCTTCCCAGAGCCTGGGTCAGGTCTGCGGCGTCAGCTCTGGGAGGAAACCAACAATGGGAGTTGTCTCCTATAGGACAGTGTCCTGCCTCTCTTGCCCCTCCCATGCTTTCCCCTGCCCTGGATGCAGCACAGAGCCTGGCCCCCAAATGTGTCTTCCCCACAACTTACACACTCCTGGGGGCAACAGGACAGCATGTACGAAGTTGGACCTGATTAGGAAAATTCAGGTGTGGGCGGCCCAGCTTTGTCTCTGCACAGTCCCCAGCTCCAGGCCCTTCCCTTCCCATTCCTCGAATTGCACCACCTCCCCACTTTCTGTTAGCCATCCTTCACTTCCTGTGCAGCTCTGACTCCCCCTGGCCATGGGGTTCCAGGGAGGTGGCCCCCTCTCTCTGGCCTCACATGCAGCTCTGGGGCTCACAGCCAGGTATCAATATGGGAGAAAGCCACATGCAAGGGTAGTGGTCATACAGCACTTCCTATGAACTTGGGATTGTCCCTGGCTCCAGCTGGGAGTGAAAGGTCTCTCCACATGCCCTCCTTGCCATTCCCTCTCCTGGCACCTCTCTGGGTCTCTGCTCCAGTGAGGCCCTATTTGCCAAGTAGCAGAACTGTGATGGGAGAGGAAGCAGGAAGCTATTTCTACCAGGTACCCCCTTCCCACTTCCCCTTTAACCCCACAAAGCGAGGGTAGGTCTCCCCACTCCAAAGATGGTCTGTTCTCCCCGCACCAGCTTCCTGCTTCCCTGTATCCCTAGAACCTAGTGTGGCAGAGCCAGGGTCACCTGGTTGGCAGGAGAGGAACCTATAGCACACAGATGCCCAGCTGGCCCTCTCACTCCTGAAGCCCCACTAATAACTGCACCCCCTGCTCTCCCCCCACTACCCACCCACTTGCTTGCTGAAGCAGCCCAAGTTCTGTTTACATGCACCCCAGGCTGTGACCCTACAGATCCAGTCCCAAACAGGAATTATTTCTCTTTAAAAAAAAAAAAAAAAATCTTCTGATCATCCTAGCCTCTTTCAACTGCACTCAGACTGGTCAGGAGGCTGGGCTGGAATGGACAATCTAAGATGTAGAGTCAGAAGATGTAGCCTGAAAGGCAAGCTACCCTTTCTGTATGAGAGGCTTCTCTTCTCTAAGTGGAGACGATAAGAATGCCCCTCACTCCGGGGGGGCTAGGAGAAGAACATGCCATCACGGAGGGCAAAGCTTGCAGAGAGGGCCCTGCGCAGATGGGAACCAAAGTTGCAGACTCAGCCCAGGTCCTGGGGTCCAGGAGGGCAATGAGCCAGTGGGGCACAGAGAGGACTGGGCCACCAGGTAAAAGGAGGTATGCAGTCCCTGAGGACAGGGATGCTTTGGGAAGAGATTCCAGATGGGAGGGGATGCTGGGAATACCTGCAAGGCAGGCCAGGCTTCAGTGTTTCTAGTTGCAGGCAATTGGCTGTGCCTGTGCTGAGTCCACCTGGAGTGCGGAATCTGCAGCTGCTTCTTTCAAGCCTCCTGCCCCAGCCATGCGGAAGGAGTGGTCCATGCTGTCAGTCTTCCTGTCCCCACTGGTGCCCTACCTAATTGTTCAAGGCCAAGACACACCAGGGCTGCCGTGTCACACATCATCTAGGAGAACGGTGACTGGAGGTGAGCGGTGCTTGCCTGTGCTGTGTCTGCCCTCCCCGGGCTCTGCTTTGGGGGAAAATTGTTGATCACAGCACTCAGATTGTTGTGATCCGACTAAACGGAACTCACAAAGGCAGGGCTCATGATCATTCTTGACTGTTTTAATCCCAGCACCTCACCCAGGAACTGGAGCACAAGAGTTGCTCAATAACTATTCCCCGAGGAAGACAGCAGATAGGTGGGTGAAACAATCCAATTTCTTAATCTGCTGGACCACTCACCTTCTCATTCCCAGGACCTTTCCCTAGCCCAGGGCCACCTGAGAGTCCTCCAGGACCCAGAAGGAAGAACGAGGGCCTGAAGCCTCGAAGACTTGCAGCCACCTCTGGGTCTGCTCCTTTGTGACTCTGTGAGTTCAGTTCCCATCTAAGATGACATATGCAAAGTGCCCAGCTGTGCCTGGCCCTTAGGTGGTAATCCTAAGGTGGTAATCCTGGGCTGTGCTCTAGGAGGGAAGGGCAGGGGGCAGGGGTGCAGACTCCACCTGCTGTAAAGGCAAATGAACGATCCTTTGATTAAAAGGCAGTCTACAGAGCGACACAGGCACAGACAGAAACCCAGGGAAAGGCAGAGGAGCGAAAACTGAAGGCTTCTTTTCCACCCTGCCGTCAAGAGCAAGGGACAATCGTCAGGGCCTCTCAGAGCCGGGGCCACCCCCTTCCACCTTGTGTTCCCGTGTCGTGTCAGGTCCTACTCCTCCCATTTCTTTGCCCCTGAAGTACTGAGGGGGGGAGAGGGTGGATCCCAACCCTCCCACTGCCCACTCTAGCTGTCAATCTGCTGTCTGGTAGAAAGACGTGAAGCCTCGTGACAACTGTGGGCAACTTTCCCCTGCCCCGCCTCCCGCCCCTGCCCTGCCCTCTTCCCCTCTGCTCCCTGTCAATGCTCTTCTCACTCTGCTCTGGGTCTTGCTTCCCTCCCTCTCTACCTCCCTCCCTTCCTTCTTCTTTCCTCTGTTTCCCTTTGTCATCTCTTCCAATCCTCACAGCTGATAAGCCTGTATACCCTCGTAAGATTTCTAATCGTGGGTTATGCTTTTAAGCGTCCACCCAGGTCAAGATCTTTCATAGACTTTGAGCATGGTTTGTGTGCAATGGGGATGGGTTGGGTTCCTGGGGCTTCTATCCCCCTTGGGGACCTGATGCCTTCCCTAGAAGGTAGTCACTGGGCCATTGGTCCCCCTAAGTTTGACTAGGGGCCTGTTTTGTCCACCTTCCAGAATCAGGGTGCTCTTGGAAACAGGAGCCTATCCCAGGGCTCAGCGCTACCTTTAGGTTCGGGAGAAGATCAAAGTCCATAATTAACTGTTCAGGGCAAGTTAAGTGCTCCAAACTTTGGTGCTAAAAATACTGTATTTAGCATGCAAATTACGCCCTGACAGCTCCCCAGAGCCTGAGCCCGTGGGTGCCAGCCCCTTGTTTGTCATCACCGTGGTTATTCTCAAGGTGGTAAGAATATTCCTCCCTCACTGGGTGGATTTACGCTTCATTTGTAGAAAGCAACATTTCCGTTGTCAGGGCAGTGCCAAGCTGTGGCCCAGAAGGCTTGGAGCTAGGGACCGGCCTGGAGGCTGAGAGGAGGGAGAACTGTCCAGGCCGCGGTGGTCAGGGCGTTCCCTGCTTCCCCCAGCCTGCCCCAGAGGAAGGCGATCCTGGCATGCAACCAAAGACAGGGCAAGGGACACGGCAGACACAGGCAATGCCAGTGCTTCCAAGGCCACCTTTTCCACAGAGCCTTCTCTACCCTGGTGGGGGAGAGGGCAAAGGATGGATCCTTCAGTGGAAGCAGGAGCTGCCACAGGGGAGGTGAGCAGTGGCGGTGACCTGGCTTCCTTGGGTTAGGCCCTGCAGACACAGGGGTCTCGCTACCCTAAAATGCCAAGAATGGAGGTGGCGCTGCTCCTTTCTACCCAGGGGTCCTGGAAGGTGACTCTTGTCAAAGTTTTATTAGTTTGGTGCACGGATAGTGATGTTACAGAGTCTGGGGCCCAGGGGCTCTCCCAAGCTGCAGCTTCCCCTCCTCCCTCAGGGCAGGGCCAGGCAAGGCCAAATGGTTTTCAGCAGCCTCTTAGCCATGGGCTCCTCTAAGGCAGAGGCAGTGGAAGGGAAGGGAAACAGGAGAGATAAAAGGCCAGAAGGAATAGAAAAGGAAAGTGATTTTGCATCAGACTGTGGCAGAGGCGGCCCCTCAAAGAAACTTTGATGTCTCCCAGCCCAGGCCCAGATAGAGTTCCAAGGCCTGACCTCCCCGCCAGACCCCAGGCTGGCCAGCATGTGCTGTGAGAAGGGATGCATTGCAGGGCCGTCCAAAGGTGGCAGGGTGGGCTAGGGCAAGGAGTTCCTCTCCCCACAGACCCTCCTGGGCCCTTCAAGATGAGGGTTCCTCTTCTCAGAGCAGGTGGAAACCATTTGGGGGCTGTAACAGGGTGAGGCAGGTCAGGACCCACCTGGGAAGTAGAGGTCCACATCAGGGTGCGGGAGGGAGCTGAGGATTTTGGCTTGGGAATCTCTGGGGACCATCCTGCAGTCTGGTATTTACATGGGTCTCCCAGGACTGAAGTTGCCTGGCTCCTCAGCAACAGAGCTTGCTTCCCTCCTGTGGGCCTTGCAGGGTGTGAACTGTCCATCTCTCCCCACTGCCTGCTCCAGGTCAAGCCCCACAGACAGAGAAAACTCAGCCTCTGGGCCCTGACTCTGACCCCAGCAACCCCAGAGCCCCAGAGGAAGGTCAAGGAAGGTGGCTGCATCTTTGGTGCCAAGGATAGGGGGCCTGGAGGCGAGAGGGGGGACTCTGTGAGCTGCCCCTGAGCTGGGGGGTCCAGCCCCAGGGCTGGTACCATGCCCAGCTCACTAGCACTGCCCTGGCAGAGTGAGGGTGTGCAGGCAGTGAGGGGCACGGAGCCAAGCGAACACTGCAGGACCTGCCAAAGTGAAGAGGAGGCTGATCCACCTGGGCCTTCCTGCCCGCAGTTCACAGGGGTGAGGCCGGCCGGCCTGGGCAGGGAGGTGGGAAGCAGGCTGCTGTGCGGGCAGGCAGCAGAGTCAGCAGTGGAGGATCTTCAGGAAGGCCTTGCGGAACTCAATATTGAAGGTGGTATAGATGATGGGGTTCACGGCGCTGTTGACGTAGCCCAGCCACGTGAAGGCGCTGTACAGGACAGGCGGGATGTTGCAGTCACAGTGTATGTTCAGGATGTGTGTGATGAAGAAGGGCAGCCAGCAGATGATGAACACGCCTGGGGGAAAGGGCACCGTCAGGCTGGGACCCAGGGCCGGGGAGCACGGCTGAGAACACCCACACTCAGTGTGCCCTGGCTCGTGTGCCAAGACAGCGGGCTGTAGCCACAGGGGCACTGTGGGAGGAGTCCAGGTCTTGGACCCTAGACCCGCTTCTCACACCCATTTGCAGTGAAGGATCCCTTCAGCTCCCTCAGCCTCACTTTCCTCATTCATCCCGTTCCCACCTCTTAGGAAAGGGTTCCTGGTTTAAAAATAAATCCAAAAGGTGACCATTCTGACCCAGGTCAGCCAGTAGAAATGGAAATATCTACTCTACTGCCAGGTCATCTTGGAGGGCTGTGATCCATGCCACTTTGTTCTCACAGCATCCTCGGGAGTTACGTAAGATAAAGGCTCATAGCGGCTCTGGAATATACCCAAGGCCACTGATTCTTGAGCAGCAAAGCTGAAAGCTGAACTCTAGTCTATCCAGGTCCCCACATGGCCAGGCTCTTGCTCCAGCCTTCCCTCAATTTCCTCAGCCTTGGCAGGTACACCCTTGCTAGTCCCTGCCTTGAACCATGCCTTCTCACCCAGGCTGGCCACCTACCTGCTCTGCTCACCTAACTCAGCTGCACTTTTTCCAGGACCTCTTGTGCAGGAGTAACATTCAGCCTGGAAGCAGTGTGTACATGGAATGCCCTACGTTCCACGTAGGCATCTTGGAGGCTGAGTGGTGTCTGGGAAGAGTAGGGCCACAGAACCAAGCCCCTATGGACTGCCTGGCTCCAATCCTAGGCTACCACATCCCAGTCCCATGACGATGAGTGGTCCCATGGGACCAAGTGCTCTCATTCATAAAACAAGAGAGGTAACAGCTGCCCCACTCATGCTCCAGGATCACCGGGCAGTCAAAGGGGATTCAGGTGCTACCTGGAAGACAGAGTCACAGGTGTCCCTCCTTCTCCCAGCCACCCATATTAGTCTGCCCTTTTTACTACATGGACTTCTATTGTGGACAGGGCCACTTTTCATTTAGATTGGAGACCACCCCTCAACATCCCTTTTATTTTTCACAGCCCTGGTCCCATGGAGTCTTACTTGAGTGCAAGTGGACTGAATTTCCCAGTTCCTCAACAAGAGCAATAGTAATAAAAACATAATGATGGCACTCACATATGCAGAGCACTTTGCAGTTTAGAAAATGCTTTCACCAACTGATTGTCACAACAACCCTGAGAAGTAAGCTACCCTACAGATGGGGAGACTGGAGAGAGAAAGTGACTTTCCTGGACACACAGGCACATGAGGTTCTGGTGGCAGCATAATAGACTGGTCAAGTTCCCAGACTCTGGAGTCAGACTGCCTGAGTTCAAACCATGGGTCCTCTTGGTCAGTTTATATGACCACTCTAAACCTCCGTTTGCCATCTGTAAAGTGAGCGCAGTTACAGAATCTACCTAATAGAGCTGTCTGTACATCAATGGGCTGGGCCTGTGCCTGAGGAAATGCTAGCTCCGTGACCCTGCAGCCACGGTTAGGAAGGATGTGGTAAGGAATGGGATCTTTCACAGACCGAGCAGCCAGGGCCGACTCACCGAGAACAATGGCGAGCATCTGAGTGGCTTTCTTCTCCTTCTGCTGGGAGAGCTTCCTACGACTTATGGTCTTGAGGGAGGTCCGGGTTTTGCCATTTGGCATGGTCTGGATCTCAAAGAACTTGGCAATCCTGGGGTGGTTTCTGGCATGCCCGTTCTTCTCTGGTTTGGCGGGGCTGTCAGTAGTGCTGTGGAGACCGTGGTGGGACGGGTCGGGGAGAGTCAGCTGGTGGTGGCTGGGCGGGATGGGGCTGTAGCGGGTCCTCTCGGGTGGGCTGGTGCTAGAGAGCATCTCCATCTCCAGCTCCTGGGCTCGCCGGGCAGCTTCCTGCACCAGAGGCAGAGGGCTCTGGGTAAAGCCAGGCCAGTTCCCAGGCATCAGCCACCCATCTCACTGGCCCCTCCCTTTCCCCTCTGAAGACTCCTGCAAACACCACAGGGTCACCCTGCAAGTGAGGCAAGAATGTCACTGAGACATGGGGCCCAGGACCCATGGCAGGCCCTGCAGAATTGCCCATCCTGTTCCCCATGGCAATCGTCATGCAGCCTCAATACCCCACCTCTGTTCTGCCGGGACTAAGTACCAGGGACTTGTCTCTCATGGCCTGAGCAACACTTACTGTCAGCAAAGTGCCAGGTGCCACAGTCGCTGCTGGGGTAAAGAGCTGATGATGTTCCGCCCTGCCTCCAGAAACTCATGTTCAGACTGCAAAGAGGGCACCCACCCCTGTTCTCCCTACCAGGATCAAACAAGGGGCCCAGTGCTCCTGCTTCATGGACATCTGCACCTGCATACACACATGGCCTCCACATTCTCCTGGATAGACTGATCCAGGTCCCAAAGGGCTGGCCCCTGAGGCCCCACATCTTCCCTGCTGGGGTGACCTAGAGGGCCCTGGCATGAATCCACTCATGGCTTCCTGGGTTCGTCTGTAGGTTCTCCTGTTTGAGGCCTTGGAGGTATTAGTCTGAACTTCTGAAGTGTAGCCTCGCTATGTCCCCAGGTGGCATAACTGGGTTGCTGCCTTGGCCCTGACTCCGAGTCTCTGTTTTGGCACCTGCAGCATAAACAGCTTCTTAGAGTCCTGCCCTTGCAGTGCAGATGAAGGCAGGATGCCTGACCTGGATTTTGTAAGTGGCCCTCTGTGGGTTCTCTGGCCCTGTTCTCCATCCCCCCGGGGGATGGAAAGCCTGCTGCTTGCATCCTGGTATAGCTACCACCTGGCAGAGGCTGGGGTCTGCTGGGCTTCTTAACCTGAAGGCTCTATGGACACAGAGTGCTCCACCATCAGGCCCCACAGCTGCTCTGCTCCGTCCTTCACCCAAACCTGCCTGTCCATAAAGCAGCTCATGTCAGTGGAAAGAACACAGGTGTGGAGTTCAAAGTCTAAGGTCTGGGCTGAGTGTCACCAACCCTTGAGACTTGGGTGAGTCGCCTAATCTCTCTGAGCCTGTTTCCTCTTCTGTAAACTGAAGATCGGTTCGATCAAAAAGACTTACCTCCCAGGGTCGTGGTGAGGATTTGATGAGATAATAGGGATATGGTAGATGTTTGAGAAATGGGAATAGCCATTATTAGCATTTTTATTTTGTTGGTACGGCCAACCATTTTCTCGTACACATCCATGCCTTGCAGAATCGAGGTGTCTCACTCTATGCCTGTTTAGAGGTGTGCATCGTGAGTCTGCCCTCAGCTGAGGCAATGTGGGGGTTTCTGGGGGTGCTTCTCCCACTGGCCAGCTTCTGAGGTCTCAGAACCGTGGCCAGTGGGCAGAAAGACCTGGCTCTGGGTCCCTGGCCTGAGCACTTACCACTCTCCGCCTGTTCACTGGGAAACTCCCATTAGACTTCATGATAACGGTGCAGAGTTTCATGTCCTCAGGGTGAGTGCAGTTGCCCTGTGGAGTGAGCCAGCACATGGGTCACACAAGGTGGTGGGGATGGAGGAGGCAGAAACCCAAAGTGCAGCAGTCCATGGAACTCAGACTGGGCAGAAGGGCTCAGAGATCAGGAGGGTGGGGGCCAGAGGAGGCAGCTGGGGTAAGGGGGAAGGCTGGAATGAGGCAAGAAGTGGTGGGATGAGGGACACAGGACCCTGATTTTTAAGGGGCACCTGCTAAGGGTCTGGCACTGTTTTAGGCACACTCACATCCCTTCTCACATGGAATCCTCAAGACCACCCTGTGAGGCTGGTATTTTGATTCCCATTTAACAGATGAGAAGACAGGCTCAGAGAAGTTAAGCAACTTGCCTAAGGTCACTCAGCAAAAAAAGTGGCAGGGACAAGATCTGAACCTGATATGTCTAACCCAAGAGCTCTTGTTCCTTCCATACCCACACGCTGTCTTCCTCAGGAGGGACTGAGTGAAGGGGAGGATTCACAAGATCAGGGGAAAACGAAAGAGGAACAAAGGAAAGACGTAGTGCAGAAGAAGTCAGGAGGAGGGATGTGTGCCTGGAAGGGAGGACAGACAGTAAGGAAGGTAAATGAAAGAGGATGGAGGAGTCAGAGGGAGCTAAAGGGAGACAGGGAAACCAGAAGAGAGGAAGAGAGGAGCCCAGGCGGGCACCAAGCAAGAGTTGCCACCTTCACCCGCAAAGATCTCCAAGCAAAGACTTCTCCCTGTTGTTGAGCACCATGGACCCCGCCTCCCTCTCCTGGAGACTCAGGTCGTTCCACTAAGGTCCACGCCTTCAAGATCAGCCCTTGCCCATCTACTGGGAGCTCTTTTAGCCTGGACCTAACCCTTGCTGAGGCATCCCAAGTTCCCACCGGAGCACAGGATGAGCCCTCTTGGTAATGGTTAGGTGGGGACACTTGGAGCAGGGGGAGGGGTCTTGAGACCTTTAGTGGGGCCCTCAGGTGGGCCCTGAAAGCTCGGCTGCTGCGCTTGGTGTTGACTCGCTTGCGGCGTCTGCGGAGGACAATGTAGATCTTGATGTAGACCAGCAGGGTGACGATGAAGGGCACGTAGAAGGAGACGATGGAGGAGTAGACCACAAAGGCGGGGTTGGCGATGATGCACTCATTCTGGTCTGCGGGAGGGAGAGCCCAGGTGGGCAGGAAGTCAGCGGGCCCACTGGACCACAATTCCACGAGAGCACATTTATGCCCTTCTAGGAACGAGTAGCGATTTTACAGATAATATTAATGCTACTCGATGTTTAAGTCTTCCTGGTCAGCTTCTTTTTTTTTTTTTTTTTTTTAAGATGGAGTGTCACTCTTGTGGCCCAGGCTGCAGTGCAATGGCACAATCTCAGCTCACCACAAACTCCGCCTCCCAGGTTCAAGTGATTCTCCTGCCTCAGCCTCCCAAGTAGCTGAGATTACAGGTGCGCGCCACCATGCCTGGCTAATTTTGTATTTTTAGAAGAAACGGAGTTTCTCCATGTTGACCAGGCTGGTCTTGAACTCCTGACCTCAGGGGATCCACCCGCCTTAGCCTCCCAAAGTGCTGGGATTATCGGCGTGAACCACCATGCCTGGCCTTGGTCATCTTAGATATACATAAACGCACAGCAGAAACCAAAGCATTAAAAACATGATTATCAGCAAAAAGCTAAGCTATGATGGTGGGCTACTCCCAGGTCTTTTCATTACTATTCCCTCGTTACTTGCTCATTAGTTTTGCCATGTCTAGGCATAACAATTGAAGCTGGAGTATCCAGAAGGAATGACACAAGAAAACTTTTAAAAGAGTAAACCATCATTTTAATCTGACCTGTGTACTGGGAGAGGTCTGCCACATTTTAATTTTTGCCGCAAGATAACTTGGCTCTGTTTGTTGAACTCACTTTGTTCCTATGTGTTTCATACGTTTGCATGCCCTTCCAGGTCTACCAGATGCCTGTCCTCTATCTCAGGGCCTTCTCACATTAATCTGAGTGGGAATCTAAGCGCTATTCCCACTTAGAATTCTTGTGTGGCTTATGGTAGATGTTGTACCACACATTTTCAAGCCTTCACTGTATCCTGCGTTGTTATGATCTCTAGAGGTGCATACTTGCAATTGCTCTTGTCTCTCTGATCAGCAGAAGTTCCACGCTGGTGGGGGCTTTGTGTTCCCTCTGTCTGAGACACTCCTGACTCTGCCTTCCACAGAAATGGGCATGTGGTCAGCTCGCCTTCTACTCATTTCTAGCTTTCCTGCTCCAGGTGGCTTGGGCCTGGCCTGGGTTTAGTGGGCCCTGAAAGCTGAAGCTTCATTACAAAAACACCATTGTCACGGGTGGACGGAAGTGCAGGAGCCTCCCCCATCCCATGTGCATGTGCACATACACACACACACACAGTTTGTGAAGCATGTCTTGTCTCAACTTAATAACCAAAGTTGAAAATTGCCAGACATCCCCCTGAACCATTATCCCCAATCCTCATCCCATTCCATCCTAGCCCAGGCCACCGTTTCCTGTCAACCTAGAACAACTCTTGAGTTGGGCTTGGCCTAGGACACGAAGCCTGGTCTCAGTCCAGGATGGAGATAGGTCCCTATTGGGCCTCGACCTGGATCTGTGCCAGGGACGCAGCTCCCTCAGGGCCCCTCAAGGGAGCGGGGGCCCAGGGCCAGCTGAGTCTCAGACAAACAAAAGCAGGACGTACCTGTGTTGTTGAGTCCGAAGAGGAGTGGGCAGGAGATGGTGAAGGACAGGACCCAGACGATGGCGATCATGACGGTGACCCGGCGCTTGGAGCTGTAGCGCGTATTGTACAGCATGGGCATGGCCACAGCTGTGTACCTGCAAGGGCGGGGGACCCTGAATCTGGGGACCCTGAATCCCCTGAGGTCAGGCATAGGGACCCTCACTCCACAATATGCACACACCAGAGGCAACCTCACTCCTTGGGGCTAAACAGTTGACCCATGTCTATGAAGCTTGCCTGAGATGCTAACTCACCCCTCCCGCCTGTCCCCACACTCTCATGGCGAGACAGTTGGCAAAGCCCAAACACTTCATGACTGGTGAGCTACTGTTTACTCTTGGCTCAATCTACTATTCTAACCAGCCCCACTTGGATTTCAGGCTCTTTGAAGGACCATGGCCTGGATCTCTGCAGCTTTGAAACTGTACCCACTGCACCGTGCTGAGCCCATGAAGGGGGAAGTGTTTGTTGATAAATTGGTAGCCAGGCCCCTCAGAGCAAGGTTTAAGCCCCAGTTAGCAGGAAATAACAATGGCAATTATTTACAATCCTTCATCATATTTCTTTACCCAGCACTTCTCATTCATTAACTTATTTCATCTTCCAAGAATGCTGTGAGGGAGGTAGGGCCATATCTTTGCAAATTACTAAAAGGCTCCAAGGACACAGCTTAGCAAGGTGTACATGGTCTGGGACCCTTGGCCGTGTGCTCCATTCTGGACATAAAATGCATAACCACATACTTCAGCTCCAGGGGGTAGGTGTCATCATTGTAGGTTTCTAGAAAATGAAACTGGGAGCTCTGAGAATGCCCATGATCTGCCCAAGGTCACATGCGTAAGATGTGATAGAGCTAAGGCTTCCATCAGAATCACAAACTTTCCATTTTCTACTGGTCACTGTCTGAGTATGCTTGGCAGCATCACTGTCCATAGATGGTTTCTCTTAGGGAGCATATACTCTCCTAGCTAAACATACACACAAACACATGGACCCATATGCACGCAGACAGCTGCAGAGCATCACAGACCCCAGACACAGCCTGACTTTGAGAAGAGCTGGGGCAGCCGGAATGGTGAGTGGCCAGGGCCACCTCTCCCACCCTGGCTGGGCTCACCTGTCGATGCTGATGGCACACAAGTTCAGGATGCTCGCCGTGCACATCATGACGTCCAGAGTGACAAAGATGTCACAGTGAATCCTGCTGAATTTCCACTCGCCCACCACCTGGGGACGGGCAACATAATGGATGGACAGCAGGAGAGGGAGATTAGCTTAGGTCCTGTAGCCTGGTCCTCCTGGAGCCGATGAGGCTGTGGGCTCAGGAGGCAGCTGCAAGTCTTGCAGGCATCCAGCTGGGGTATGGGGGTGGGGGTGATGCCCATGGGTGTCTGAGGCCCTCACCCCTGGGTTGTCTTCTCCCAGATACATAAGGCCACTTAATGCTAATTACTGTGCTAGAAGAAAGACAGCCAGCTTATACGAAGGGCCTCAACTTTGAACCTTAATCTGTGTAACCTTTTTTATCCCCGTGTGTTTTTTTAGATTCTGTATTGTGTGCATGGCGTCCATTCATCACAGAGACAACTATAGTGACTATATTTTTCTATGTACTCTGTTCCTGATATTCTGGCACTTGGGAGCCTCACAGACCCAGAGAGAGACTTCCCATCCCAGAGCTAGTTAATTCCTGAAGACAGAAAATGACTGACTTGGAAGGATGCCTCTGAAATGCAAGCCAGCCACCCCGTTTCTCTAACTCACATACACAGAGCCAATATTTCCTCTGTCTCAAATTATCCCAGGTACCAGAGAGACAACAAGAGATCACTTACAGCCCGAAGCCTGCCAGGATGATTGCGACTCGCCGACCCTAGGTTGCTTAGTCTGCCCTGCCTTGCGTTCCCTGTGGGAGCCTCAACAGGGCTGTAGCCTGGGCTTTCCCTCGCCAGGCTTCTGCCTCCTGACCCAAGCCTGCTGCTTCCCCCTGTACCCCACATGGCAGGCCAAGCCTCTGGTTTCTAGGGATATTGCACATCACTATAAACTCTTCCCAATGCCACTGGCCTCCTTGTGTTATCACTCAGTTATACCTTTGTAAATTAGATTCCAGGTAAAATTTTAGAATGCCCATGAGGAAACTGAGAATGAGGAAACCGAGCCTCCGAAAAGTGCAGCGATTTCCCCAAGGCCTGTGGGCTCAGTTCCTGGTCCTGCTCTGGCCCAGGCTCTGGGTGAGCCAGGCAAGCCCTTCAGTGGTTAGCCCAGTGCTTGGCAGAGTCAGGGCCCCAAAATTATCTGTTAAGAATAACGGTGAAGAGGAAGACTCTCCATGAAACGGAGAAGAAATTTCTGCTCCGTATACCCAGAGAATGAAAGAAGACAGATCCGGGCTAGCGCTCCAGGAACGCCCCAGTGGGCTGGGGAGGGGTTGCTGTGATGAGCTGTCCTTGGTAGGAAGGGAAATGAGAAGTCTAGCTCCTGGCAGGAGCATGTTTCTCATACACCCATGCACACAGGAACACACACACGCATACACACACACACACACACACACACACACACACATGCACGCATATGCACACACATATTACCCCATACCACCCATTCACACAAAGGCACACATTCACACGGCAGGCTGTCCCTAGCACTCTGGAAGCTTGGAGCAGCCCCAATTCCCTGAGGATGGAGTCAGGACAGGGAGAGGCACCTTTGGCTTCTACCAATAGGAGCAGAGAGGAGAGGGAAAGCCCCCTCCCACCACCCGGAGTAGGGCAGACTACGTGTCACTGTGCAGCTCAGCAGCAGGGCTAATTATAACCTTCCTCATTCTGATCACTGCCCTGTCTTCTGCTCCTAGGCATCCAACCAAACACTGGCATTTAAGCTCAATGATGGGCAATGCAGCTGCTGTCATCTTGTGTGGCAGAAACAGCAGCTGGCCCCAGAACGCAGGAAGCCTCTCATGTGGCGCTGTCTTCCCAGAGCCTCTCCCGGCTCCCTATGCTGCTGTGCTGACCAGGTGGGCAGGAGCTGACAGCTGGATGTCCAGTTTGGGGGTGGAGGCAGGAGGGCATGTAAAGGGCTTTCCTGGCATAAACAGAGTATACCCCTAGGGTACCGGGAATGCCACCTGGTTTGCATCCCATCTTGAAGCTCCTCCTAGGACTGGCACTTGGGAACCACTTTCTGTCCCTGGAGATCTAGGCTGAGGTAACAGGGCCTTTCTCCTTCCTTTCTATCCTCTCTGCCCTCCTTCTTTCCTACAAACACTTATTGAGCAACTTACTGTGTGCCAGTCTCAGTCCTAGACTCCTGGACACAGTTGTAAGCAATTCAGACACAGAACCTGCCTTCATGGACATCTTAAACCTCTTCTTGCACTGGACTATCTGGAGCCCAGAAGAACAAAGAGATTTCCTCTGTGGTCCCAGGGTCAGCTGTCCCGGAGAGTAGTTAGGGCTGCTGACTCAAAGACTCAAGAAAATGCATTGGCAGCCACTGTCCATAGACATTTACTGTGGACATTGCACTTTATCTCATATATTGGTCTTAGAACTCTTATGAGAAGGACTTGCTCATCCCCCTGCATAGATGAGGGAACGGAAGCCCAGAGAGGCCGTGTAACCTAGCCATGCTCATCCACCAAGTGTGCAGTAAAGCTGGAATCCGAAGCATCACATCCCATGCTCTCTACTAAGCTGCCCTGGAAGGCCCCATCTAGCTTATCCAAAGAGGAGATAATTATGTGACAAGCACTTGGTAAGCATGAAATGTGAAAAGGAAAGATGATTATTTTAAGGGTAGACAAAACTAGGGAGGGTCAGAGAAGAAAACAGAGCAAGATCACTTGATGATTTAGTAGCAGAGGAAGGAGTGACCCCAGGTTCCCGAGTTGAACCCAAGGCTCTTTTCTTCACCCCAGGTATCATTCATTAACACTCTTGCTCACAGAAAGCTGAGGCCTGCAGTACAGGCCCTGAGCTGGCTCAGCTAAGCCCTAATAACTATACTGCTACTAAGGAATTACCATATGTCAGGCACTGTTCCAAACACTTGATGCTCATGTCTTAGGATGCAGACAGTAAGCCTCAGAGGCACATGACATGACCACCTCTCTTCCACACCTCCAGCCAGCTACTCCCTCTCCCTGCTGGGTGGCTTTGCTGAGAATGCAAGTGTGTCCCATCCTCTCCTGGATAATTTTTTCTAAAGCATCACTTCTCCCTGAAAGTCTTCCCTGACATCCCCACACTGGACCTCATGCCCCAGACCTCCTCCTATGGGGACTGCTCTACTGTCATCTGCAGCAGACTGCCCTGCAGGGGCCTTGTCAGCCTCTGCAGCCCCCGTAGGCCAGTGCCTCAGCCCGTTGCACAAGGATTGGGGTAAGACATCAAAGTGCTCAGTCAATGCTGACTGAGTGAATGAATAACTCTGAGATCTTTGTTCACCTTCTCAATCTCCTCTTCTCATCTAGAAAATAAACTCACACAGGAAGCCTCTCCCTAAAGGGTTGTGAGGGCTGCATGGAATGGCACATGTGGGCATCAGGATCAAAAGGAGTGGAGCTGGGAGCTGAACCCGGTCCTCTCACTCCAAAACCAGCGTGCTTTTTGTATACTGAGCAAAATAATACTGCACACCTAGTCCTAAGCCAGACAGATGCTGGCATGACAGGTTATTGGGGGCCTTTTGGCATTGCTGGAAATGGAACAGGAGGGAAACACCTGGAGGACAAAAGCACGTCTTAGAGAGGGGACAGCGTGTGGTTGTGAGGACGTCAGGGCAGGGTGAGACGCCACCTGGGATGTTCTCTAGGGACAACCAATAGCTGAGATAGCATCCATTAAGCAGGGTCCAGCTCAGTTTGATGAGATGCTGTGGGGGAGTCTGAGCTCTGCCCTGTGAGGATGGCTTCTGAACCCTCCTCCCCTGACACACTCAGCTTCACCTTTAAAATAAGGTGAACAAGCATGTTTAAAGAATTTGTTTGAAAGCCTTACAGATTCCTGGGAAGCCTATGTATGGATTTGTTCCTACCCTAGTGTCTGGGTAGGGACAGGGGGTCTGGAAGCCAGCAGAAGTCATGCACAGAGCCGTGGGCAGAACATACCTCCCTCTGGGAAGGAGGTACCTATTTGCCTGGGGTGAACAGAGGGAGGACTCTCTTCTTTATTTCATGGGGAGGGGAGGACTCTCTTCTTTATCTTTATTTCATGGGGAGGGGTGAAGAGGACGGAGAGAGTCCTCTCTATGTGGAGCAGTGCTGGATGTCTATTGTCATCTTTATCTTCATCATCATCGTCATGGCTGACATTTACACAGTGCTCACTGTGAGTCATGCAGCATTCTAATCACTTTTCATACATTAACTCATTTGATCCTCAACAATGCTATGAGGTACAATACTATTATTATCTGCATTTTATAGATAAGGAAACTGAGGCACAGAGTGGTTGCTTGCTCTACCATTTTTCCCTATGGTGTGAGATCTAACACCCCCCTTTGGAAGAGGGAAGAAGAAGGGGATCAAGCATAAGAATTAGGAGACATGGACAGAGTCTAGGGACCCTCATAATCAGGGATCCAGGGGGAACTGGACTCCTGGCCTGTGTCACCTAAATATTTTTATATTGTTTTATATTTGTGTTTCCTTTTGATTCTTCCTTAATATCCAGTCAGGTCGTTTTGGCAGTTGCAGCCTGAGTTGGCTGTAGTAAAGGAAGCCAAGGGATGAGGGGTCAGAACTCCCCTGGGGCCAGGTGACGATAACAACAGTAAGCGCAGGAGGTCCTTGGGGGCCCCAGGGCTGGGAGGTGCTTCACTTTCCACCAGCCGCGCCTTCTCGCCTGAGCTTCCTCCTCTAGACGTCACCTCTGTTTAAACTTACAAAGCTTTTACATTTTCTTTCAACAACCCCTTCCCTCTCAGGCAGGGATGGCCTCAGAGGCAGTGGTCAATTCATCTCCTGCTCAGGACAGGAAGGTAATCGTTCAGTGGGCAGAGCACTGGCACTTTCCTAAATGTCTGGTCAGCTCCCCATGCACCCAGACTCCCAGGCTACTTCAGCCCCGGACAGGCCAGCCCAGAAACCTAGGCAGAGAAAGAGGCAGGATTGGCTTGTGTCCACTGATGTCCCCTAGATGCTCCCACATCTGCTTGCCTGCTCTGAAGGTGTCTCCCTGGGGAAGAATACCTGCTTTGGGATTTCTCCATCAGCATTTCTCCCTGTGACCTGGGTGAAGAAAGGCAGCTTCTTCTCCAAAGCCTCTGTTTCCTA